TAGGTGCAGTCATAACCTTTCGAGGTAGGCCTAGGATCCGACTATTTCCTCCCTAAAATTTATTTTTTTATTCTACTCTTATAAAAACACTGCTTTGAGGGCGCAATCGTCAACTATCATTGTCTATGTAGTAAGGAGAGGAAGACCGAACGAGCTTCTCGCGGTTTAGTCCACTGAACTACAAGATAAGAAATAGTTTGAATGTATCCACCTCAAAATCCTGCCTTCTCGTAATTAAATCACTCGAAGCCAGATATATTGGTAATCCAGATATATTTTTTTTCGAGCTTGCGAGAAAAAAAGCATGATTGTCATCCTCAATGTGGGGCGTGTGTAAGGAGGAAGGTGACGCAGACTTCCTAAACAACCGAACTACACCGCAGAGAGTGATTGAATATATCCACCAGAAAAAATATATATATATAAATATAAATAAAATTAATTTTCGATATAGGCATAGATAGTTGTTCACCGTTTTCCTAATGCTATATCAGAGTGATATATTTTTTATATTAATATTTTTTTTATCTAATTCCGACACAGGTAGAAAAGTATCGATGTGAAAAAAAAATCTACAAAGTATATGCTCCCTTCTCTTCTTTGTAAATATGTATACACAACGTATCTTTCAGTTTCGAATAAAAATGAATCTGATATTTTATTATTATATACTTGTTACAAACCGTTATAAGTCATTGAAATTGCTATAAATTGATAAAATCAGTGAAATTGCTACGTATATGAATTATCACTATACCTGCAAAATGGTTAAAACTAACTACTATAATGGTTTGAATTCTGCCATATCACAGGCATTAATCAATCTGCAATATAGGTATAGTGATGAAATGCCAGAAATGTGGTGTTCTCATATTCGTTATCCATTTAGGACACTTCTAGAAAACAACCTGAAATACTTCTCCAAGAATGGATTTATCCAAATGGTTGAAAGAGTATATATAGATTGGGAATTTAAAGCTGAGAGACGCTCATTTAATATTTATTGTACTGTATGCGACACCTTGGTATTTATCCGTGAAAATATTATCGAATGTACCAATCATCACCTGAATGAATGCATTGCTAAAACAGCTAAAAGGCATTTTGCACATTCTAATCCTATTCAGAAAAAAGGAGGAAGAAACGTGTCATCACTTAGTTCTAATGAGGTTGATGAGATTTTTATGAATTATTCTATATATCCACAGCGTGGTTATCGTGTATATAATATGGAGAATGAATTTAGGGAAAAAATTGCTTATTCCTTATTTAATGGTGCAAAAATTATCCAACGGGCTTGGAGAGCTTTCAAGTTGAGACCCGAAACATGGGCGAAACGGGTTTGGAATATAGTAAGGAATGATGACACCCCTAATGAGAAGAAGTTTTTAGATATAAATATTCATGTTAAAAAAGCTCCTAGTTATCA